GGAGGCTTTGTTTTCTTGTTGTTTGGGGGGGGGGGGTCAACAGTGGGAGGGCACCTAGTGTCCTGGCCCCACTGCTGGACCTCCTGAGGGCACCTGGTATTTCTGGCCACTGTGTGACACAGAGTGTTGGACTGGAGGGGCCATTGGCCTGATTCTACATGGCATCTCTTATGTTCTTATATGGAGCAGAGGTCCATCAGTGGCTCTTAGCCACAAGGTGTAGATAGGGGCTCTGGGGCATGGGATGCTCTGTCTTCTTGGTTCTTGGGGGGGTCAACAGTGGGAGGGCTTCTAGTGTCCTGGCCCCACTGCTGGACCACCTGAGGGCACCTGGTATTTCTGGCCACTGCGTGACACAGAGTGTTGGACTGGGTGGGCCACTGGCCTGATCCAACATTGGCATCTCTTATGTTCTTATGAACTGGATCAACATATGGAGCAGAGGTCCATCAGTGGCTATTAGCGGCAAAGTATAGGTAGGAACTCTCGGTCTGGGGCAAGGGATGCTCTGTGTTCTTGGTGCTCGGGGGGGGCAACAGTGGGAGGGCTTCTAGTGTCCTGGCCCCACTGGTGGACCTCCTGAGGGCCCCTGGTCTGTGACACAGAGTGTTGGACTGGATGGGCCACTGGTCTGACACAACATTGGCTTCTCTTATGTTCTTATAGATGGAACACTCTGTCTGGAGCAAGGGATGCTCTGTCTTCTTGGTGCTTGGGGGGGGGGCACAGTGGGAGGGCTCCTAGTGTCCTGGCCCCCTGCTGGACCTCCTGATGGCACTTGGTATTGTTTGGCCACTGTGTGACACAGAGTGTTGGACTAGATGGCCCTTTGGCCCGATCAAACATTGGCTTCTCTTATGTTCTTATGTCTGGGGCAAGGGATGCTCTGTCTTCTTGGTGCTTGGGGGTGGGGGCAACAGTGGGAGGGCTTCTAATGTCCTGGCCCCACTGCTGGACCTCCTGATGGCACCTGGTATTTCTGGCCACTGTGTGACACAGAGTGTTGGACTGGGTGGGCCACTGGCCTGATCCAACATTGGCGTCTCTTATGTCCTTATGTTTTTATGTAATGCCAGTGGCTCACCAAGCAGGATTTTTGCTCACAAGACTCTCCACAGCTCAGAGGGAGCATTGTAACCAGTGTTCCCTCTAAGCTGGGTCTGTGTAAGCTAGCTCACAGTTTCTTAGCCTCCGGCTCACCCATTTTCTGTCTCAGCTCCGGAAGGATGGGGCTCCAGATCCGACGAATGGATGCCTTGGTCAAATGGCTCGCTCACAGCTTTAATGCTTCTTGTCTTCTTGGTGCTTGGGGGGGGGGGCAACAGTGGGAGGGGCTTCTAATGTCCTGGCCCCACTGGTGGACCTCCTGATGGCACTGGTATTTCTGGCCACTGTGTGACACAGAGTGTTGGACTGGAGGGGCCTTTGGCCTGATCCAGCATTGGCATCTCTTATGTCCTTATGTAATGCCAGGGGCTCACCAAGTAGGATTTTTGCTCACAAGACTCTCCACAGCTCAGAGGGAGCATTGTAACCAGTGTTCCCTCTAAGCTGGGTCAGTCAGTCAGTCAATCAATCAACCTTTATTGGCATATTGTATCGAAACTGACAAGCAAGGGATACGAAGAAGAGGTTGGATTTATACCCCGCCCTTCACTCGGAATCTCAGAGCGGCTTACAAACTCCTTTCCCTTCCCCTCCCCACAAGATACACCCTGTGAGGTGGGTGGGGCTGAGAGAGCTCTGACAGAAACTGCCCTTTCAAGGACAGCTCTTGTCAGAACTATGGCTTGCCCAAGGTCATCCAGCAGCTGCATGTGGAGGAGTGGAGAATCAAACCCGGTTCTCCCAGGTTAGAGTCCGCGCACTTCACCACGACACCAAACTGGCTCTCTACGAAGTCATATGCAGTTAATAATCTACGAAGTCATATGCAGTTAATAATCCATTCCCTCCTCTTAGAAGCCCAAAACAGAAATTTGGCCACCATTTCCATAATCACTGAGGATCGGGTAGAGAGTAAATAAAATATCTTCCATTCATCAGAATGATTTACTAGATTTCTCAACACAGGCTCAAGATATGATGATCGAACCTCACGATAGAAGGTACAGTGTAGCATGATATGATCCAGACTCTCGATTTCATTAACACCACAAGGACATAATCTGTCCACATAAGGAGTCTAATAGGCAGTCAGTGCAGTGCCTTCAGCACCGGCTGGATGTGGTCCCGCCTAGTGAGACCCATCAACAGCCTGGCTGCTGCATTCTGCACTAACTGCAGCTTCCGGATTTGCGACAGAGGCAGCCCCATGTAGAGAGCGTTACAGTAGTCCAGCCTCGAGGTGACCATCGCATGGATCACTGTGGCCAAGTCCTTGTGGTCAAGGAAGGGAACCAACTGCCGCGCCAGCTGGAGATGGTAAAAGGCTGACTTGGCAGTGGCTGCCACCTGGGCCTCCATCGTTAAAGAGGAGTCCAGGAGCACTCCCAAACTCCTAACCTTTGACACTGGCACCAAAGGCACCCCATCGAAGGCTGGGAGAAGGAGCCCCGACCCGACCTAAGCCCAGGACCTCCGTCTTCGGCGGGTTTAGTTTCAACCGACTCAGTCTGAGCCAACCAGTCACAGCTTGCAGTGCCCGATGAAGGTCATCTGGGTCGAAGTATGACCGGCCGCCCAGCATCAGATAAAGCTGGGTGTCATCTGCATATTGGTGGCACCCAAGCCCAAAACTCTGGGCAATCTGGGTACGGGGGCGCATATAGATGTTAAATAACATCGGGGGATAGTACCGCCCCCTGAGGCACCCCACATTCAAGAGGTTGCCTCCGGGACTGCTGATCCCCTATCGCCACCCTTTGTCCCCGACTGTCTCGGCTCAGGAAGGACGGGGCTCCAGAGCAAACTGATTTATGCAGCAGCCAAATCGCTCGCTCACAACTTGAATGCCGGTAGTTCACAAGGTAGAATTTTTGCTCACAAGACTCCACAGCTTAGAGGGATCATTGGTCCAGACCCGGAGGGGGGGGCAGGGAGTCCTTGCAGTAGGGCTCCCTCCCGGGAGGGCCGCCTACAGGGGGCAAAGGTGACAGCACCCACCCGAGCGGTTCGTCCACCAGCGCTGGAACGCTGCGATAGACTGCTGCCAAGCATGGAGGTTCCATCGACCCCCGTGGCCGATTGTAGCCGCAGCTGGTAGAGTCGTCTAAGGGTGCCAGGGTTTCCTGCTGGTGAGCTCAGACCCTGGCGGATATCTAGGCTCCCGTTCCTGACAAAGGCAGGTAACAGAACCTGCAAAGAACCCTGCTGGATTGGGTCAGTGAAGGGCCGGGGCTCTGGGGCTGCTTGGCATGCGGGACGCCCCGGGTTCAGTCCCCGGTGGCATCTCCAATGAAAAAGGACCAGGGAGTAAGGGTTGGGAAAGACCTTTCTGTGCCCGAGACCCTGGAGAGCCGCTGCCAGTCTGAGTAGACAATACCAACCTAGATAGAACCGGGGTGTGTGTGTGTCTGATTTAGTAGAAGGCAGCTCCATCTGTTCCAGTCCAGCATCCTGTCTCTCGCAGTGGTCAACCAGTTCCTCTGGAGGGCCAGCAACAGGGCAGAGAGGCCTCCTGGCCACCAGTGTTGCCTCCTAGCCACCGGTGTTCAGGGGATGACTGCCTCTGAACGTGGAGGTTTGCTCGGTCACCGTGGCCAGTAGCCGCCGATAATCCTGTCCTCCACAGTTCTAGCCCTCTTCATACTTTCCGTGATACAGAGTGCAGAGGCAGTGCAGAAAAAAATATTGCATCAGTAGAAAACACCATTCAGAGGACGGCGGAAGACAGGAGGGCCTGGCGGGATCTGGTCCATGGGGTTGCAAAGAGTCGGACTCGACTGTGCGACTGAACAACAACAACAACAGAAAACACCGAAGCGAGAACAGGATAATTAATACCTGCGGCATACAGATGCAATAAATCCTACACACAGCGGTATAGTCCTCAGTCCTTTTCCCTTTGTAAAACACCTTCCCAAACCATTCTTTAGTATTTTAACTGTATTACCTTCATAGAAAAGCCATGCTGAACACCTGTGCTTTACATAAGTCCTTAAGAGAAGCCATGCTGGATCAGGCCAGTGGCCCCTCCAGTCCAACACACTGTGTCACACAGTGGCCAAAACCCAGGGGCCATCAGGAGGTCCACCAGCAGGGCCAGAACTCCAGAAGCCCTCCCACTCCTGCCCCCCCAGCACCAAGAGGACAGAGCATCACCGCCCCAGACATGAGAACATAAGAGAAGCCATGTTGGATCAGGCCAAAGGCCCATCCAGTCGAACACTCTGTGTCACACAGTGGCCAAAACCCAGGGGCCATCAGGAGGTCCACCAGCAGGGCCAGAACTCCAGAAGCCCTCCCACTCTTGCCCCCCCAGCACCAAGAGGACAGAGCATCACCGCCCCAGACATGAGAACATAAGAGAAGCCATGTTGGATCAGGCCAGTGGCCCATCCAGTCGAACACTCTGTGTCACACAGTAGCCAAAACCCAGGTGCCATCATGAGGTCCACAAGCGGGGCCAGAACTCCAGAAGTCCTCCCACTGTGCCCCCCCAGCACCAAGAAGACAGAGCATCACCACCCCAGATATGAGAACATAAGAGAAGCCATGTTGGATCAGGCCAGTGGCCCATCCAGTCGAACACTCTGTGTCACACAGTAGCCAAAACCCAGGTGCCATCATGAGGTCCACAAGCGGGGCCAGAACTCCAGAAGTCCTCCCACTGTGCCTCCCCAGCACCAAGAAGACAGAGCATCCCTGCCCCAGACATAAGACCTTAAGAGAGTCCTCAGTCGTTTTCCCTTTGTAAAACACCTTCCCAAACCATCCTTTAGTATTTTAACTGTATTACCTTCATAGAAAAGCCCCGCTGAACACCTGTGTTTTACATAAGACCTTAAGAGAAGCCATGCTGGATCAGGCCAATGGCCCATCCAGTCCAACACTCTGTGTCACACAGTGGCCAAAACCCAGGGGCCATCAGGGGGTCCACCAGCAGGGCCAGAACTCCAGAAGCCCTCCCACTCTTGCCCCCCCTCAAGCACCAAGAAGACAGAGCATCACTGCCCCAGACATAAGAACATAAGAGAAGCCAATGTTAGATCAGGCCAGTCCAACATTCTGTGTCACACAGTGGCCAAAAATACCAGGTGCCATCAGGAGGTCCACTGGTGGGTCCAGAATTCCAGAAGCCCTCCCACTGTTTGCCCCCCCCCCAAGCACCAAGAAGGCAGAGCATCACTGCCACATAGTGTTCCATCTGAACATTTTATATAGCTACTGATGGACCTCTGCTCTGTATGTTTATCTGATCCCTTCTTGAAGTTGTCTTTGGTTATAGCCACCACCACGTCCTGTGGCAGTGAATTCCATGCGTTAATCACTCTTTGGGCGAAGAAGGACTTCCTTTTATCTGTTCTGAGACTAGCGACTGTTAACATAGTTTGCGGAATGCCTAATCTTCCTCCACTCATTTGTTTAGTCCTGAATTGGTCTAAAGCAGATCGTATTTATTTTCTCTTTGTTTAAAACATTTATTAGCCTCTTTTCTTCTATACGTGGATAAAATATACATTAAAAACATAAAACCAAAGTTTAAAATCAGAACTTAGGACTGCTACTAAACGTAACCAAATGCCATCATAAGTAAAGCTGTCGTCAGCTGCCTCCTGAAGTCAGAGAGTGGGGAGGGGGCAGGCACACCTCCGTGGGGAGGTTCTTCCATAATCATGGGGCAGCCACTGAAAAGGCCCTGTCACGTATTCCCATCCAAGAGCTTCTTTGATTGGTGGACAGTCAGGAGCGCCTCTCCCGATGGTTTTAATTCCCTGACCTCCCTGTGGTCATTGGTTTTCTACAGTGTTTTCATTTCTTTTGCCAGTATTTTACAGTCAGAGTAGAACCGGCTGCCTCAGGAGCTGGTGAGCTCCCCCTCACTGGTAGTCTCCAAGCAGCGGCTGGACGAACACTTGTCAGGGATGCTTCCGGCTGATCCTGAGATTGCATTCACTTTCTTCACAGCCACATCGCACTGCAGGCTCATGTTTAGCTTGTGATCAACCAGAACACCTAGATACCTTTTGGGCACCACATTTTAGGAAGGATGTTGACAAGCTCGAGTGTGTCCAGAAGAGGGCAACCAGGATGGTGAGAGGATTGGAATCCAAGTCTTATGAGGAAAGGCTGAAGGAGTTGGTCTGTTTAGCCTGGGAAAGAGAAGGCTTAGAGGGGACACGATTGCAGTCTTCAAGTATTTGAAGGGCTGTCATGTAGAAGATGGAGCGGATCTGTTCTCTCTTTGTTGCCATGCAAGCCTATTAATGTGTTTTTGTGAGATATGAACTGTGCAAAGGGACTGTACAACATGGAGACCTGAGAATACCTGTTGAGACTGCACACCTGAGAAAGGGGCGCCTTCCTTTAGTGATTGCTGCCACAGTGTTAGTCCAGAGTCACCAGCCATCTTGCCTGCTGTGAGATGAAGCCGTTCCATAAGCCTGCACAAAGCCTCAGCTGCCATGCCTTGGGAAACAGGAGGACAGAGAACTCCAGACGCCATTAGGAGTTTCTTCCAGCACATGTAGGCAACCTCTCTCCCCCCCTTCCAGCTACCTATAATCAAGAGAGAATAGCCCTAGCTATTCAATATTAACCACTCCTTAGTCCCCCTTCCCTCTTCCAGCCAGCCAATAGTATGTTTTATGGGACAGACTTACAGGTAGTGTCACAGGAGGGGGATGTGGCCAGCCTAGCCAGCCTCCCCACACCACGTTATAGAAGATACTGCCCGACCACATGGTCTCTCTCTTTTACCCTCTCGACGACCCCTATCGAAGCTTTAACCCTCTTATGCCCAGCTTGCTATCCACATACCCTACCTCCATCTTTAAACTCTAGATCTGCAGCTAGAGTCCACGTGGTTCTGCTGGTTCAGAGCACGTGTTCCCCTTTTTCTATTTCTAAACCCCTCCATTCTTCCATTGGAACGGCTCAACTAATGAAGACAGGTAAATATTGCCCAACCAACGAATATCCTGCTAAAGCAACTGTGTTAAGAATCTATCTTTATTTCCTAGCATATGTATAAATGTGTGTGTGTTTGTGTATTGTTTGAATGATATATACCTTCCAGTAAAGAGATATTATATTTCACTACACCCAGTCTCTGTGTCTGTTCAGATACTTACAGCAAAGGTGGGACTTCTGTATAAATTGGTGAGAACCCTAATCTGCCTATTGCCAGTTAATAATCATAACTTCACCTAGACTAATTAATAATTAAAGGCAATTTGGCTAACACTTGCTCCGGATTGCCAGACTAGATCTAATGGGTGGAAATTACAAGGGAGTCGATACCGGCTAAATATCAGGAGAAACTTCCTAACTGTAAGAGGGGTCGAGCAGTGGAGCAGTTTGCCTCGGGAGTTGGCGGATGCTCCTTCGCTGGACGTTTTCAAGCAGAGGCTGGATGACCCTCTTTTGGGTATGTTGCAGGGCTATCTTCTGGATATGCTCCTGCAGAGGGCAGGGGGTTGGACTAGATGACCTGCAAGGTCCCTTCCAACTCTAACATTCTATGATTTTATGAGCACAGTGATTATTTAGCAAAGTCCTGGGAGCTAACAACCTTCGACTCAGAGCATTAGGAAGATACTGTCTTTTTGCTTCAGATAATCAGATAAGGTCATTTTCCCTTCTTCCACTGAGCATCGCAGAGGATGGGCAGGTGAGCGGAGAAAATGTTGACGGCTCATTCCTCGGTGTTCCCCTTTGCAGACCAGTATTGTCAGCATGGTGTACACGCAGTCGGAGATCCTGCAGAAGGAGGTCTACCTCTTTGAGCGCATCGATTCAGCCAACCGGGAGAACATGAAGCACTTGAAAGCTATCTGCTTCCTGCGGCCCACGAAGGTATTTCGAATCCCACGCTTCTTGCCAGAATCGAATTCCAAATAGTAGAGTTGCCAGCCACAAGGTGTGCAAACAATGATGAAAATAACTGTGATGTAGTATTATGAAAATATATTTAGACTGCTGTTTTGCAGTGAGTAGTGTTCCTTCAACAAGTAATAAAGATGTATGCATGCACACGATGGAATTTGCACATACTCCCATTTCACATGACCGCTTTTCCTCAGTGTGCTGCATAGGTAACATTCATTTAGGGTAAAGGTAAAGGTTTCCCTTGCTCGAAAGCCAGTCGAGTCCGACTCTAGGGTTGCGGTGCTCATCTCCGTTTCCAAGCCGAAGAGCCAGCGCTGTCCGAAGACGTTTCCATGGTCATGTGGCCGGCATGACTAAACACCAAGGCGCATGGAACGCTGTTACCTTCCCACCGAAGTGGTACCTATTTATCTACTTGCAATTTCTTGCTTTCGAACTGCTAGGTTGGCAGGAAACATTCATTTACATCACACTAAAATGAGAGGAAAAACAATTACCATCCAATGACCATCTCATGTTCTCACTAATACATGCATGCAAACTCCATAATGCCTGCTGCAAAGTTAAAAATACTTACACAATTCTAATCTGTGAATTAACACTCAACATTCTTCCCACTCCAGTGAAACAGATTCTTTCTGTGCTGGTAATATCCTAACAAACTACTCCCATAAAAACACTATCTTAATTACTAACAGGTGGCAAAACAGAGATCACACATTTAAAGAGAAAGTTTATGCTGCCCAGACTTGCCCTAATATAAATCATGCAGTCATTGTATACCAATCTTATACATTCTGAGGAGATCATTGTTAATAGGAAACTACTGCAATCTAACTCAGACTTTAATCCAATGTCGGGGTTCGATAGTCACGTCACGCAAGACAGAACTTCGTTTGGTACGCCAGGACTATGACACGTGTACTACTTGTGTCAGGAATGCCCGGGAACAGTATGGCACCCTGAATTATACTAGAATCAAACACCCCCCTTACAGAAAGCAAAAGCCGTTGGTTCCCAGCAGAAGCCGACAGCAGCTGGAACATCCCAAGGTCAAGAAAGTAGATAATACCCAGACAGTGAAACTCTGTAGCACGCAGGGCAAGGTGCCGCCCCCCCCCCCCACATTCCAGCCACATGACAGTGTTAACTGACATCCAAGAGGAGAGAGTGAGCAAAAATGAAATATCCAACCTGGCTACTGCCTCCCCAAATTACGGCTGATCTCCAGACTGCAGAGATCAGTTCCCCTGGAGAAAACGTCCGCTTTGAAGGGCGAACCCGGTGGCATTGTACCCCACTGGCGTCCCCGACCCAAAATCTCCAGGAATTTCCCAACCTGTGGTAGGCAACACTTTTTCCAAAGTACTCTGCTGGAATAGAATACCAGGCATTCAGTACAGATCAGGGTTTCCACTTTCTGGGTGGGGCACGGAAATCTGGAATCACAACTGATTTCCCATGGAGTAAATGGCTGCTTTGGAGGGTGCACTCTATGGCATTATTCACTGCTGTGCCCTGCTGTAATGACTCCGTTTTTTTTTGTGTTTGTGTCTTTAAATGTTGAGTTTGACTGCAGTAATGTAAGGAGAGCGATAGGGGGAGATAAGTGTGCTGTGATTGGCTGCTGACTGAGAGTGTGGGAGGAGATGTTCTGAGAGGATTCTGTGTGTGTGTCTGTGAGGAGATTCTGTGATATGAGAGAGACAAGTATGGAAGAGTTTTGAAGTGATTCTGTGTGTAAAGTTTGAAGAGAGAACATGGTCTGTGTGACTATGGAATTTGGAGTCTAATTCTTTGTGAATAAGACCAACAGTTTAGTCTGTGTGACTAAGAGAGTTGATTCCATTTGGTGTAAATAAAACAAAGAGACTAGCCTGCGTGGCTCTATATATGAGTGTATAAGCCTGTCAGAATGGAGTTTGGAGAGACTGTTTGTAGCACCAAGCTTTGTCAGTTATATTTACAAGTTCCTATCTTCAGTAATAGTTCAAAATAACCGGAAACCTATTTTGTTATTTAAGCTTATCCCAGAAATCAGAATAGTCCTTCCTCAGGGCCACATCGTCCTCTGAAGTGCCCAGACCCTAGGTCGTTCTACCAGCAGAGAGAGAGAGATTTGGATTTTTTAATTCCTGGTGGCAGCAGAAATCTACCAAGTTTAGGTACACAAAGCGTGTTTAAAGGTAAAACTGTCTCTCCTGTAAGCAAGAACGCCACACCCACCCCTTCCCAAACCCCGCCCTCCCCAGGCTCCAGGAATTTCCCAACCCAGAGTTGGCAACCCTAGTACAGACGTTTTGTGGGAGGGAGAGGACTTTCAGCTGAGCCGGATCCAGGCCCCGTGGAGGGGAGCGGCGGCTGCCTGCCCCCTGCCCTCCTTGCGATGGCCTCATCGGTGACAGTTGGAAGCAAGAGGGTCATTCTGGTGGTCTTTGGAACACCTTTTTGGTCAGCTCTTAGACTCCGTAGTTGCCGAACTGGTCTCCTAACACCAGGGCTATTTTTGGGCAGGAACGCACAGGAACGGAGTCCCGGCTGGCTCCCGAGTTGGCCACGCCCAGCAGGAGCTCATTAGCATATTAGGCCACACCTAACAGCAGAAACTCATTAGGATTGGCTACATTAGGGGTGTGTGGCCTAACATGCAAAGGAGTTCCTGCTACAAAAAAAGGCCCTGGTTTTTTACAACAAACAAGGTAAACAGAATAAGAAGCAAAAGGTGGGTGTGGCTAGATGACCACACTTCTGGTAACATTTATGGGGGGTATGGCCTAATATGCTAATGAACTGTACTATCAGGGGTGTGGCCTAATATGCTAATGAGTTCCTGCTGTTGGGTATGCCTTATTATGCTAATGAGTTCCTGCTGGGCTTTTTCTATGAAAAAAGCCCTGCCTAACACTTTTAGTTTGAACATGAGTCAGAACGTTTTTTTGGATGAAATTACTTTCTCTGCCTTCTTGCCCACGGTTTGGATTTATCGTTTGTTTAGGAAAACGTAGAATACCTTATCCAAGAGCTGCGCAGGCCGAAATACAGCATCTATTTCATTTGTAAGTATGCATCGTCCTTTCCCCGCGTTGTCTTGTGGCCTCTCTGAAGGCCTCCTCCCTGCCCCTTGACTGTATTCTCAGCGTTCCACTCCGCACAACAATTTATACGAATCCATCCTATGTATATAATTTACATTGACAGGGCTATTTTTGGGCAGGAACGCACAGGAACAGAGTTCTGGCCGGCTCCTGAGTTGGCCACGCCCAGCAGGAGCTCATTAGCATAATAGGCCACACCCAACAGCAGAAACTCATTAGGATTGGCTACATTAGGGGTGTGTGGCCTAACATGCAAAGGAGTTTAAAAAGGCCCTGGGTTTTGACAACAAACAAGGTAAACAGAATAAGAAGCAAAAGGTGGGTGTGGCTGGATGACCACGCTTCCGATAACATGGGGGTGTGGCCTAATATGCTAATGAGCTGTGCTGTCAGGGGTGTGGCCAAATATGCTAATGAGTTCCTGCTGTTGGGTGTGGTCTCTTATGCTAATGCGTTCCTGCTGGGCTTTTTCTACAAAAAGAGCCCTGTACATCGATATATACCCTGTGCTGTCCTGGCTACATTAAAATGCACTCTGGGCTCGCTCTGGCGGAGGAGAGATGGGTGGCAGACAGAGACAGGCCTTCCTGGGTGGTGGCCCCTTATCTCTCTAATGCCCTTCCGCTTGAATGGCTGCCTGGCTCCAACAT